GAGTGCTGACTGTTGACCTCCACACAGACTTGAGAGTAATGAAAGCTTGTCTTGCTTTTCCGATTCTTGCTTTGATATCCTCGTCAGCTCTATCCGCCTGTAGTTGAAACCATGCTTCCAAGGTAGGTAAAAGAGGTTGTTTCTTTCAGGTTCCTCCCATTCATGCTGATTGTTGTCAGTTGTTGTTTTTGCTGTTGGTGGTGTTGCCCAGGAATTTTCATCACCTCTGTTTTATCTATGTTCACATGAAATCCTATCTTTGATGCTTCTTCTGCTAACTTGTTGCTTTTCGCTTGCATATCTTCCAGTTTGTGGGAAATCAGACATATATCATCGGCGAAGTCCAGATCCTCCAAGTTTTTTATGTGGGTCCATTTTATGCCTGTTTCCTCATTGCCCGCTGTTTGTCGCATTATCCAGTCTACTGCAATCAAGAAAATGATTGGCGATAGTAGGCAGCCTTGTCTTACTCCTGTCTAATAAGGTGTTAGTTAAAGGTTCTGTCAGACGCATTCAACAAATATGCATACAGGACACAAGGGAAGATTTACACAACATTACTAAAATATTGTTCAGTGGCAATTATCCAATGAAATTCATTAAGCGTTGCAGAAGTGTCAAACAAAAGGCTCCACCGATATAATTAATTCCCGAAAAGGATGTTTATACACCCTTACCGATCAGAGATTATCAGCAAAGTCTGACCAACTAAGCGAAAACTCAAGGCAGCACTTAACAGACCTTATTATGCTCTTATAAACCCTCACAGTATTCGAACAATAGTATCACATTCCGTTGTTATTTACTAATTTATATTTATGTGTGCGGTCACATGTACAGATCCAGGAAGTCAAGGCTACAGAACATATTCCAAAGTAGGTACAACAACAAATAAAATCCCCGGATACAAACCGATCCCGGAAATAGATATCCAACATCATTTATACCGAGGCCTATCATAAAGACGACCCGTCACAAGGTTGATCTCAATAATCTTCCTACATTTGGTTCCCTTGATAAATTTCGATAAAGAAATGAAGACGAAATTTGCAGTATAAAATGAAATCATCACCATTCTGTTTCATAGGTTCTCATCAGCTACCATTGACTACCTGAAATTACAATGGTTCAATATATAGATGAGAATAACATACTTTAATGTTTAAGTGATTGTAGAGAAGAAATACTATAAAACTGACGCATCCAAAATGTTAGCATTACAATTTTTTAGTTTAAGAACAAAATATTTAGAGCGAACAATTGTTTTCAATAAATTCTTCTTCAGGCTCTACAATTATAAATCCATTAATTTAAGTATACAATAGCCAGTAAAGGCAAATTACATTCATATCAGAAAGTGTATTGTTGTGGAACAAGTATAAGTAAGATGGGATGGAACAATAGTCAGTTAGTTTTTTTAATATGCATGGTCAATGAGAACATGGGAGAAAATGAAATGAAGTAATTTAATTTAATTTAATGATGTGTGTTTATATATGTAAATATAGTCAACAGAAAATGCAGGTTTCGAGAGTGTGTGTGAGACAATATGAAAATAAACCAACGAATGGGGCGGACTAGACATAAGTTCAAGGTTGAAAATAACAACAGTAAAATAATAACGATGATATGGTGTAAAATTACAAGCACTATTGGTGAATGATTGTCAAATAATATCAATGAATATAATGAAGTGAAATGAACAGGATTTTGTAAATACGATAACAAGTTAGAAAAGCACTATTTAAACCTAAGGTAATGGAAATCATAAGAAAGGTCATGTAATCATAAAAGTCGAAAATGAACGTTTGTCAATGAAACAGAGGAATAGAATAAGAAGAAGAAAAGAAAATTGTGAAAGGAGTTTATAGTGTTAATGGAGGATTTGTTGGCTTTATTGTAGGCCAAGGTAAATATAGTGGTTGAACATCCTTCTTCTGTATGCAAAGAGATGGTCTTCTGGTATTTTTGATATAAGAATAAAACTTGGGCACTGTGGTAGAGTGTAATTCCATTATGGGTAAATTTTATTTTGATAGAGTCTCACAGTGTTATACAGTAATATTACTCTATATTACTGTATACAGTAAATATTACTGTATAACACTGTGAGACTTCTGGTGTTTTGTCGCATGTTCTCATTGATCATGCATATTAAAAAAACTAACTGACTATTGTTCCATCCCATCTTACTTATACTTGTTCCACAACAATACACTTTCTGATATGATTGTAATTTGCCTTTACTGGCTATTGTATGCTTAAATTAATGGATTTATAATTGTAGAGCCTGAAGAAGAATTTATTGAAAACAATTGTTCGCCCTAAATATTTTTAGTTTAAGTTTTCATCATCAATTTATACGCTTTCAAAGTAGAAAAGAGGTGGTAAGACAGAAAACATTAAAAATCAATCAACAGAACAGTGTTAGCTTGTAGGTTCACATAGCAACTCAAAAAGAGAAACGAAAGCGGCTACAGTTTATAAGATTGAAATTTGTTCAGTGAGTTGAGATCACTGAAATAGAAATTTCATTTATCCCTTCGTGTCAATGAATAAAACAAGTTTGGGTCCCATATTCAAATCTGTTGTAGTCTTAGTCATAAAAATGCTCAAACCTGTCTGATGTGTTCTCCTATTATTCATCATTCCTGTGATCCTGCCTTGACCCTATTCACTTAAAAGTATCCTCAACCCTCTTTATTTGTTACCCCATATTATTACGTCGTCACCGTTAATCATCTGTGATCTTGACCTGTAGACAGCTTGACCTATGCTATAACCCTTTCTGTATATGTGATCAGTATTTCCGAAATTTCACATGAACTGTGATCAAGATTTGACTGCAAAATTCCAAAATAATTGGGCGCCGAGTGATAAGCAGACATATGTAAAAACTATATTGTTGTAGAAATCTCAGCAAAATTGAAGTAAGTAATTGCGAAGTTTCGTTCGGCAAACTGGTCCAAACTTCTTAAAGGAAATTAATCAAAGCTATTTTGGACCAGTTTGCCGAAAGACACGTTGGAATTACTTATTTCAACTCCGCTGAGATTCTACAAATATAATTTTTACACATGTCCGAAATTTGTTGCGCTAAAACATTCATAACACACACGTTTCAGATACATGACGAGTTCTTATTGTTTTGTCGAAGTCTCTCGAAAATATATAGACTGAATTCATTGACGCAGAGGATATATTCACCCCCCATCCACCGCCGCCAACCATCTTCCTTCAACTACGATGTTTGTGGAAACCTCCGACGAGACACTGCAGCCCTTGCGTAAGTTGTTGTGTAACACAATACGTTTACTCGAACGGAAGAGGTACAGTAAACAAGTGATCAGATTATGGAACTTTTAGATGATCGAAAGATGACACAAAGTTTTTTTATCAAAATGTCCGTGATGTACATCACAATTTCCACAGATGCTAGTGATGATAACGACACAAGTAACACTCAAAAGCAAACATACACGATTGTAGAGAGTATGCCAGCTGTGCGATGAAATTTGTGGAAAAGGAAGTGTTCTAAGGTAGAGAAGGTAATTTACACCAGTCATTCGACTGCTAAGGAAGTAGAGAGTCTCACATTCGTTGAGAAGAGCAAGAAACCCACCACAACCACCCCCACGTGAAGTATCACGATGGATGCCACGTCCACGGCAGTATATACAGGCCACAATCTGACAATTTACACAAAAAGAAAGAAAGTAGGATTAACTAAATAATTTCACAGACTGAATTTTTGAGCCGAACAACCGCAGTAAAAGCATATATGGAGTGAATGCCTTGAAACCAGGTCTCCAACAAAATATTTATCATCAGTAATCTGATCATACCCCAGGAGCAGTTTACCAGAGCGATAAGTGATGAACAAGGTAGTTATCAAGCAACTTAGCCCCGAGTTCCTATTGTAATGAAGACGTAGGCGATTGATCCGATAAATACTATGTATGTCCTTCAACTTTAAATCCAAAACACCAGTATTCCTTGAACGAAATTATATTGTTTGGCAATTAAAGTGAAGAAAACTACAAAGTCTACAAACAAATGTTAGGTACAAATGAAGTTATAAAGTACTTTTATTCGTTTTTGTTCCCGTCTTCGTTCAACTTGCAAGCGATCGAACCATTCGCGCCTTTGAATTGCCCACCAATGGCTGCCAGTTCCAATAAACAAACGTTCAATGTTCACGTCCATTGACAGTAGTTAACAATGTTACTTCGATAGAAATCTATGCATCTCAACTAATTGCACATGGAAAATGTTGGAAGACGAGTTAACAACAATTTCAAAGCGTCCAACATCCATCATGAGTTGATCTAAGAATGTCACTAATCAACTAGCTTATGTATTCAAAACTTAAGAGTCAAAGTGCCCAGTGACCGAACATGAAAGGCAATACTGCAAAGTATATATTCCTGGCTGACTGCAGTGTCAATTTCTAATGAAGAGTGTCACCTTGCATTCGACAATCACTGCAGTATCTATCACCAAGTGTTGATTGCTTTATTTTCCTATATCAAGCTTGACTGCAGACTGGCATCAGTTAGAAAATCATTGCGAAACCAGCTAGGAGTACTGAAGAGATGCTTACTCTTAGTTTGGGACTCATCATCAGGATGCAGCCACACTGTGGGGTTCGAACCCCGGACCTTCCGGTCACAAGATATGTCCTTAGACCATTCATTCATACACTGGGACCCAATCAAATGGCTGATGAATTTCAACAGCTTTACTGATTCGTGATTTTACCGTGACTACTAACTATTTGGCCTCAATCCCGACTCTTTAGAATTTATTTTGTATACATGTTTAGCAGCTACAGCTACTTTTCAAGAGTTCGTTTGCAAGGATTTGAAGTAAGATTACGACCTGACCGAGATCAGTCAGGTAACAAATGAAAGAAACAGAGGGGGAGAACTGGACCTCGTCGAGGATCATATCAATAACCTTTCAGGTTATAAGACGACGAACTATCAGATCTTATCTCAGTGGCTAAATGGCCAACGAATCTCCCACATAACCTACAAACTCTGATTCCGACCGCCGATTAGGGACACGGATCCTCATATTGCCGAAGAGTTGAAAACTGATAGGAACATAACAAACACTCCGGTAACTCTTGGTGTATTTTTTTTTCAATGCTTCAAGCTATCTGATGACAGTTCCAGTCAGTCAATCAATCACACTGGGGTGGTGTAGTTGTGCGCCACTAGCCTTCTCAAACTGAAACACAGCTTGGATGCATTCAATATGTATTTAACACAAGCAATAATTCACAACAAATGCCTATATTTCAACTGAATAACTTTATCAGCTAACAGACATTAGAAAATATTACACCTAATTTCTATCTCAATCAATAAAATAAAAACAATAGAAAAATAATAATAATAACAATAGTATTACTAAAGTATAAAAAAACAAATCTGAGGGCGCTGAAAACAAAAACAGGAAGACGCCAATGAAAGACTGAAGGAAAAAAAATATATAAAAAACAGCACAATTCACAAAGTGAAAGGGCAGTGCACACACACACACACATTCACAATCACGTTTGGAGCAGTTACTTATCACTAAAGAAATGCCGACAATTTTTAAACAATTTATGTGTTGTCACCAAGTCGAATGCGGATTTATATTTGAATTTCCGCGTGCTCAACTCTAAGTCTTTCAGGTGTTTACAACAAATGGTATGACGACGTTTGATGCAGGCGGATGCAGGAGATGATGAGGCTAGTTCGGGCAAATCACAGCATAGTTTTGTTGTTAGGTAGTGAAACCACATTACATTGGTTTTCGGTGAAAACTTCTTCCAATTATTTCTAGGGGGGAGGAGGAGAAGAAAGGAAATAACAAAATCATAATAAGCGGGAGAAAAATATAAATATTAATAATAATAGTAATAATGCGTTAAAACAAACGAATAGAATAATCAAGTTAATTATTAATCAATAAACAACCTAGCACGTTTGTCACACAAATACGACTATTTATTTTGACACCCCATAACTAATCTGTTATTCTACGTTAAAAAATGTATCTGCCGCATAACTGGCCTTATTGTAACGACAACAAATATTATATTTTATAATTGTAAGAACCTGAAGAGAAATTATTGAAAAGAATATTCTTCGTTCAGATTGACTTTTAATTCATAATATGGGAATTTTCCACACTATCAAACAGCAACAAGACTGAAGGAAGTTTTCCGCATACATTTTTTAGCAGGATACTGAACATTGTCAGCAGCATGCATCCACACTGTGTGTGGGGTTCGAACCCCAGAGATTTCGGTCACAAAACATGCTCTTAGACCATTCATTCAGACATTGGGGCCCAATTCAATGACTCATGAATTTCAACAGCTTTACTGATTCGTGAATTTAGCGCGACTACTAACTATTTGTCGTCAATCCCGACACTTTTTTTGTATATATATATATATTTTGTATATATGCCCTTAGCGGCTACAGTTAACTAGCATTCAAGAGTTCGTTCTCAAGGATCTGGTCACGAACTGACTGAGATCAGTTAGAAAAAAAAATGAAAGAAAGACGGGGAGAACTGGACCTCATCGAGGTGCATATCAATAACCTTTACGACTATATTTTTTAACATGATACTGAACATTGCCAGTTACGGTGTTTACTTATGCAAAAGGTTAAATGTGACAATAAAATAGCTAGAAACAGGAGTGACTACATCTTCGCTCGTTTGTGATCGAGTACATCAGCAGTGTACTCGATATGACTCAGCTCAAGGAACTGAATCAGTTGGAACCACATGAATTCCCGCTGGTTGGCTGGCTGACTAGCTAGCTAACAAACACTACTTTGGTTGGTATGACTGGTATACAACTACTTATGAGTAGTATACAGTTCAATAAAGACATGTTTGCTGTCTTGATTACAACTTATGATATCAAGCAAATCATTTAGTGTGTTTGAGTGTGAACTGAATAATTAGTTGGTTTCCAAAGGGAAGCTAACTGTTGTGAAAAATTCACCTCTTTAACTGAGTACAATTGCAATGCATCAGCGAGCCTGCGAATTGTTAATTCGATTCACGAGTGTGATGATTGGACAGCTCAAGGTAACAGTAATTTAAGAAAGCCAATCAAAAAACAAAACAAAAAAACCAAACATGTGTGAAATGATATTTTGAATGGTGAATAGTGGGAAAGGGGATCAGAGTTGCAAAGATAACAAAGTCTGAATACATTTCAACACACCACTGTGAACACAACTTTTGCGATATGTTATCAAAAGTTTTCAAGCCGTGACCAGTAGGGTATAGTAGGTCGAAGGTGAGGACAGTTACTTATCGAAGAAGACATTGCGAATTGGCCGCATTACGTCATGAATTGGCAGAAGTTGGAATTCACGAGCTGGCCATTAGGTCGGCTCCCAGTGACTTAGATGTCTATGAGCTAGCTCGCCTTGTAACCAGAAAGTCCTGGGTTTGAACCCTGGTGTTGGATGCGCACTGCCGAAGAATCCCATCCCGTATTCCACTGCTGGTTTTCCAGTGGTTCTCTAACTGATATCAGCTCATGATGAAATCCTCTAACCAATTAAACAAAAATCCCTACAAACCAATACTCGATAATAAAGAGTAACTTTGATGTCAGATGGTTATTGGCAATCGGCAAGTAGCCCTGTCTAGACACCTAGGTTTCTTGCTTGTTGGCACTCAACAGACAGCAAGCTGTATCTGAAAACTTGAAGGGAGTCATACTCGTTTTGCGATTTTAGGTCGCATCACCTATTAATTTTGTCAGAGGTGTTCCTAATGAGCTATCCGGGCTCGCGATTGACCACCTCATGAAGGACTATAATGCACACTGTGATTGGGTTATTCAATACTAATTCGATCAGTCAGGTTTGCAATGTGGCCACGATGGTAGGTGGCTTACGACTGCAAAATACAGTATGAATTGTTTTAATCAGATGGTAGGAGGCGATCGGCAAGGAACCTAGGATTTGGTTTCGTGCTTGTTGGCGCTCGTCAGCAAGACGTATATTTAGTTTTGAAGGAGCTCCTATCCTCTTTGAGACTCGAACCCAGAGAGACGTTACAACAGAGCTATAGGGGTTTGTGATTAACTTTCTTTAAGACTGTAGTGAATACTTTGACTGGACAATTGGTAAAGACTGGAATCCGGAAACCCGCTGATTAGAACTTCTCCAAGATTATTTTTAATTCACCTAACACTGCTCATCGAGGAAAGCAGATGAAATATTAGTCTGCATCGATCAACATGGTTAGGACATGCGTTACACAGGCCAAAAAATCATCTTTCTCGTCGACCAACGTTAGCTGACATAGGATAGAATCAGAGAAGAGTTAGCTGTGGTCAAATCGAAACTTGGCATCGATGCATGAAGTCTATGATTGCTGATTTGAGCCACGTAGGTATGTTTAGACTACCTACCTCGTTGGTGTCCCCTAGACGTTATTTCAGAATTCAGTGTCACTTGCACCAAATTACAAGTAATCCATCTGACTAACTGAGACACATGAAACATAAACGGAGGATTAGAGCTGAGAAAACTGCTTGCGAATGGCCACACAACCTGGCATAGACTGTTGTAGGGTGGCTAGCGACATAAAATTTTCAGGGCTAACCACCAACCTGCTTTCCCAGAATGAGCGCCAATACAATTGGATAGCTCGTTGGTCATCTAAAAGAAATACCTTACTGCTTCTAAAACGCCTAGTATTTACCGTCACACCTTTAACATAATGTTGCGTGACTCACATATCACTCAACCTCTACAACACTCTGAAACCCACAAGACGGCTGTTTCATCACTAGTTTGAGAATCTTCGTCAGTACGCATCCAGACTGCGACCTTCAAACCTAGGAAGGATCTACTGGTTACAAGGTGAGTTCGTAGACCATTCAACCACTGGGACCTACCCAATCCAATCGCCCAAGAATTCCAACACGCCTGGCAATTCGCGATATATATGATATCTTATCTGACTTGATGGACCCCCATCGGTTACGACTTCTCACTAAAACTCTAGGTAACTTTTTCCTGTATACAGACAGTTGCTATCCGATTAATAAATCAAGTGTTAGTGTATGCAGGAGGATTTGACTGGTTACAAGTATAATCACAGGCTAGCTGACATCATCAGTTAAAGAACCTTTTCAGGCAAAGGTCAGCAATCATGGGTCATTGCATCGAGTCCCAGTGGCTGAATGGTTTGACTGAAAGGTCCTTTAGTCAGACCGCAGTGTTAACGCATTGCTGAATTGTCTAAAAATAGGATGAAACAGCTGGCTCGTGATCATATCTGAAATCTGCATAAGAATCAAATTACATTCGGTTGGTATGTGTGGGTGTATATTGTAAAAATTGATTAATAAAGTACAACAACTTTGGTCTATACATGAACACAAAAAAGTATATCATTCTATGTATACTCACCGAGTGTGCGATTTCATGTGACGATATATGTCAAATTGATAATCTCCTTGCGACTGAAACAAAGTAGGGTCACTACTTAAGTCAACATAGACTAAATCACCATCTACAATTAAAGAAGAGGGAACATATCATACAACAAAAGTGACTGAAGACTGTGTATAACACATTCGTTAAATTCCGATAAATAAAGCTTGAAATGAACAGTTCCCTACAAAAAATGAATGTAGGAGCGTCTGATTGACACGGTTTCAACATAGTACTTTGCATAGAAGTATGGCAGTTCAGTCTGCCACAGCACTCCATGTAGTACACAAAAGAAGACAAAATGGACAAAAATTGATATTCATAAAAACCATAATAAGCAGAAATGCAAGTGGGAGAAAGAATAGTGACACGGAAGAATATGATGGTTTAAAAGGATATGACAAATCACAAGGAGTGGTGAATGCGTCCATGTCAATATCGAGGCATCTCACCACCAATTGTCTCCAGCTTTGATTGGTATTCTTAGAATCTTGAGGACTCTCAACCAGCAAGGGAAGAAAGTAAAAAAGAAAGGCAAAATAGTGACAATAAACAGAGATATAAGGCACAAAGAATAGTAATATCGAAGAACAATATAGCTTTATTGGGCATTGTAAGTCATAAAGAGTGGATGCATCCGCCCCATTGAGAACGATTTAGAGCCATATCACCAATTGTCTCCAGCCTTCATTGATTTTTACCGTCCCGAGAGCCCAACCAGGAAGTCCACACCTTCCTACATGTTGTTGATTTTATTGACTGATGAAGCCAAGTTTTGGTTCGACCAGCGCTGCCTTACTTCTTTTCCAACCTGTTCCATCTTATGTGAGTCAGCTAACATCGCCGAACCAGGAAGTCTACACACACACCTCCCTACTTGGCTGGCTTCAACTCTCAAGGTTCTCATAGACTGATTTGAAGTTTTGGTCCGACCTCCACTAACTCTTTTTCAACAATGATTTTATGTTAACCAACACTTTCCATCGGGGAAGGTGATAGCTAGGCCGGCATGCGTAACACATGTCCTAACCATCTCTCAGCCAATGTAACTTCACACACTCAGAGAGCGATACAAAAATAGGTGGAAACATCTTGTAGTCTTGAGAGTCATCGTCGTTCAGTCATGAAAAACAAAATAAATCAAACTAATATGAACTCTGATCAAGATTTAAATGAAGAGTTACACAAACATTTTGAAAATATTAGATCCATTTGGTGATACACTGTTTACAACAGTGTGGATACTTTTTATCAGTCTTTAACGAAAATGTTTAAGAAATTATATCGGCCTTGATCACGTAACATGTAGTAGCAGTAAGAGGATTTATACTTTGGGAAATGCTTATGTGATATACAAATATTGCCCAAGCTAAAATGGAAGTGAGTTGAACACACACACGCTGAAGTGACTGTTGAGTAACATCACGCGGTATACAAGCCCTTGAGTAAAGCCCGAATAGGAGACAATGAATTCGGTGTCTGCCGGTGGACTGAGGAGTTAATTGTGGAACCAGTTAGAAAGAACTGCAGAGAATATAGACGGATACAGAGATATGCTGCTGAAGCTCTACGCTCCATTTGATGAAACACAAGGAAGACATAATAATAACTTGAATTTATCTTATACATACGTGACATGTATTTGTACAATACATTTCGAAAATTCCAACCACACATAGACGCACATATTTGTCATACATACTCATATAAAGAGTAACGAAGCATAAATAGTTTGCGATAAATGAAGGTGGGTCACATATAATCGATTTCAATAGCACCCTTAAAATAATATATAAAACACTGTTGCGTTATATACATTTATGTTCGTTAGAGCTCTCCCCACCCACTCCACGCCGATCAACAGCTGCTACTTCGACCCAACGAGTTACACAAGATGGAACTAATATTGCTGAAAGTTCTTCCATGCCACTAAGGTTGGTTGGATAGCAGACTCTCTTTATTACTAGAAAAGAGGATGGTACAATAGAAAGAAATGTATATAGAAAACCTACATCAACTGACTGTCAGTATACTCATTTTTTCAGCATCGTGCCTTTGAAATACAAACGCAATCTGATAAAGTGTTTGATCCACAGAACAAGAACAATCTGCTCGGATGAATGTTTTAATGAAGAACTTACTATTAATAAAAAGGTGCTGAGTGAGAGCGGTTATCCAGAATAGTTTATTGATAAGAATATGAATCAACCATCAATGCAGCCCTAGGTACCAATAATTACTTAAAAGGCCTTATTCTTACAAATTCAGTCCCTCGAAGATATGCGGCTAAATTGACCGCATAAAGCGCGCACACATTCCAAAAACATCTCAGAACATTATCCGGCATGGTTAGCAAAAAGACAATGCAAGACAGCTACCAGCTCAATTCTCGAGCATTTGGTGAACTCTAGCCACGTAACTACTCCACCAGAGTAGTCTTCAAGATCAACTACAAGGTGAGGAGGCCAAATGGTACAAAGGGTTTCAGGTTCCGGCTTTTTTTGTATAGCGGAGGCGTTGGCAATTCGTCAATACAACCCGGAACTCTGTAAACAGAAAAGGTTTGTCCAGTCACTTATTCTATCATGATCTTAACCTCCTCCTTTTGTTTCTCTGTAAAAGAAATTTATTTTTTTCTCTTTTCTCTTTTACTTTTAATTTAACAATTAATTCACTATTATCACTTTCATATGTTCCTTTTGTACATTTTCACACCCTCTTCACACTTGTTGAATTGACACTCAACTATCACCTTTATTCTCACTCAATAACAACTTTAACCTTATCGAATTTCTATCTTTGTTCCGTTGAGTACCACGTAATTTACAACTTTTATTTTTTACTTCTAAAGCCACTTCTGAGTAATTATATCAATTATGTCACCCCCTAGTACTCAATAATAGACAGTTTTGGCAAATATAAATACGACTGTACAACCTCTGAAGATGATCTTGTCGATAAAGAAGCATTTTCTTCGCTGAATTCATCTTTCATTTTTTCTTCATAACTCTCAATGGGTAGTATTTTCGGTGATTTGAAACCCCAGTAGTATATATAAGCATCATTCAGTATGTAGTAGCAGTTATAGTCTATGAGAATAAAACAAGAAACTTTGAAAACAAAAACAATAAACAGTGTGCAAAATATAATTAATTCCACTCCACTCGACTGACTGACTGCTTACCTTGTTCTAAACGAGACATGGTAAAGTCTATGAGGTATACTGTGCAACCGCATTTCGGAACACTGATCGCCTGATCATTCAGACGAAATTGTACGTATTTATTATTATTATTAATGTGCAATTCTTTGTCATCAGCGTCTTCTTCTTCATTAATGACATGTCTCTTATTTTCCTTATCAGATCCTTCTTCTTGTTCCACTCCATCCATATTGTCCAGATAAGAACAATATTTGCAAGAATTTCTTGAGGATGTACACAAGGAGATGGAGCGGGAGGAGGAGGAGGAGGCGGAAGAAGAAGAGGATAACAACGTCGACGACATTGTCGACTTATTTGCAAGAGGGAATATATAATTTTCATTGAGCAAAACATTCCCCCAATGTAGGTCTCTGTGCTCGAACTTTAATTCTCGTTCTGCTACTGCTAGAGAAAATCCCACTTGCAGCAGAAGGGAGACTCTGGCACAGGGACAGGGGGGCTATTATAGAAAAGAAAGAACAGAAATAAAAAGTATACAAACGGAATTAGGTATATATATATATATATATATATAGTGCTTCAGTGGCACAGCGGTTAGGACGTTAGCCGATCATGCACATGGTCCGGAGTTCCATCCCTAGCCACTGACGCATTCCTTTACCTCGCTAAGTCAGTAGTAAGACTGTCTGTCTGTATATTTTCGACATAGAACTTTGCACAGTAGTAAGAATGGTAAAGAGGGAAGGTTGAGCATGAGGTCAGAGCAACCCCATCTCGTAAAAACAAACACCACTGCTACCGAAACTTCAAGCCTCTAACTTGAAGCCCTATGTTCCACTGGGAACGTAAAGGAATAAAAAATACGTATATGTATAATAATTTCTCCAAAACTAAGCCTGACTGATGACTCCGTGTGAACGGCCAGTAACGGCATTAGGTGCATTGGGTAGACTCCGGTCTTACTTTCGAAATACTCTCATCATATGGCGACAACCGTTCACAGCCTCTGTCAGATAAGTCATATTTATTACTACGCCTTTACAACGCAGGGATGTTCCTCACAAAACTGAAAGGGTGAATTCGAAAGTTTTGTTGGCGCTTAGAACCGAACTGGTGGACATCCAGGTCTACATCTAGGGAAACTGGGAAATCCTCATTCGAAACCTATGGTGTATGTGGGCTGTGGAATCCGATTGGATGGATAATGGGTGATATGTGAACCTATGTGAGTCACCAGAAAGCATGGGAATGTAGCTACTGACACTTCTCCCGTGCCTTGTAGATCAGAATGCTCACGTCAAAGGCCGGTGGAAAGGGTGGCTCCTTAAGACAACTATCTCCACTTCGATCTGAGCATCAGGGCAGACTATGAGATTTTGTGAGACGCATCTCTTGATGTCGTTAATGCGCCAAATTTGTTTTCGTTATAATAATATGCTTTCAGGTAGTAAGCCATATGAAGAGAAAAAGTTGGGCATGAGGCTAACAACCCCCTTCCTCTCAAATCCCGCTAAAAACACCAGCTGTTATTGACATTTCATATTTTAAAGTCTTTAGCTATATGTTGTACTCGAAACGCAAAGGAGGGGAAAAACATGTTAAACCTGTAAGAATCTTTATCGTCAGACGTAACTCTCTCTCTGTTGAGCTCACACAATTGTTGAGAACAAACATTACTACTCAACAACCGCTTGTAGTATTCTATGCAGTTGGTAGTGAGCCACACATCGACTGCGGAAGGGTTAGGGATACATACCTCTCGGTCGCTCAAACGTCGTTGGACGGGAAGGGACTTCAATTCTTAATCCAACGGTTGAAGAAGTCGAGTGTGTAGACCACAAATCAGAGTTCCACAGAACATAAATTATGCACACAAACCTCAAAAACCCCGAGAAGAAATTAATGGAGTGCTTCCATCAGTTGAAACTGCAAACCAGTAGAAAATGATTTTCAAGGATTAGTCTATAGGAGGATTGACCGCGGGTTAATATCAGTTAGAGAAGCAGTGGAAATCATCAGGGAGTACTGGTTTGCAACTCTTTTACCGGAACGCACCCACAGTACGAAGTTTGAACCCAGGACCTTAAGGCTACTAAACAAGCTCGTAGACCATCCAGCCATTAGGACGAGTCACCTCAATGGCCAGTCAACCCATGAATTCTAACTTCTAGCAGTTTGCGGTATATACAGCACAACCGCCAGTCAATGCCATAGGAGAGCGTTTGTCCTCACTCCCGACTTGGTGGTGGTCCCGACTGGTCACGCTTTTTACCAGACATCCAGACAATCTCGTCCTGTAGCCTGTTACCAGCGAGCATCAGATTCACCGTCGGTATGTTAGTGAATCTTACTTCAAAAAGTGCAGCAATTCAAGAGAAAATCCATGATGAGGTATAATTCTATACATACTAGACATGCTGGCAACTGATGATAAAGTATGTAGCACTATAGGAAGTTATTTATCGAGTAACATTCAAAACACAATTGTAAGTTAGATCTCAATCGCCTGGTACTGGGCTATAAGTCACACTTATTTTGTGGGGACCTATACTGCAGTAGTAGTAGGTGGAGTGGGATTCTCGAGCCCAGGACCCATTGATCCCCCCCCCAACTCAATTCTAGGCCAGTGAACATTGATCAACAAGGAGGACAGTGGCTTGGGATGTGCAACACATGTCCTTACGTATCTAAATCAATGCGTAGCTTTACAACCACACAGAGACTGACTTTCCTTCCTTATCTAACACTCTTTCCCTAACCTAAATACTCTTCACACTATTATATCACTTTACACACGGATAATAGAGAGCAAACTTCTGCGACCAAAAAGAACTAGCCCTATATTCAGGTATTCCAATTCGAATGGTCTAATATCTTACAGTCACAAATAAAGGAGATAGTGAGCTTCTGGGCAGTGCACACGTCAAAAGACTGGCGGCTATCGCCAGCCAGAGATCACGTGTACGCTAGGAATACTTTATGTTAGAAAAGTGCCATACGAGCCTTTTGTATCCATGCTGTTATATTATCAGCAATCATATCATTAGGGTCGATACATACTTTATAAGTATATAGAATAATTTTTTTTTATTTTGATTTACAGCTTGATTCCACACCGTATTTTCAGTACAAGTATGGAATTTTCAGCATGGATATCGGTTGCCCAAATTCAGGCATTCCATAGATATCGGGTGTGCGCCGGCAGGGGATCGAACCCCGGACCATGTGCATGGTCGGCGAGAGTCCTAACCACTGTGCCACCGACGCAGTAATGTGGTGAGAGCTGTTTGCTAGCCAAAATAGATAGACAGCAATTGACGTCAATCTTTACGTCCTAAATCGGGGTCATGAGCAAGGACAAGAACAAAGCCTAACTTTGAGGAACTCAACAACCAATCACAGACTAAGCGTGGGCGGGTACGATTAGCAGATATATCAACGGACTGTCTAAGAAACGGCCACAAAGAGGTGACAGAATAACCTTCAGCAGGAAAACAACCAATCAGAAGACGTTGCTTCTCTGCTAACGACAACGCTAATAATAATGTACATAAAAATCTATAAATAACTGTTGATTTTCTCAATAAACGATCTGTTGCCTGGCCCTTTTCTTCTGTCGTTACAGTAAGAGTATAATACTTCACTAATTATTCAAGTGTTGGTTTGTAGGGATTTGGTCGATTAATTACAGGATTTCATTATGAGCTGACATTGGTTAGAGAACCATTGGAAAACCTGGGAGTACTGGACACCTGTTTCGCCCTAGTTTCGGACTCTTCATCCGTACGCACACACCGCCGGGGTTCAAACCCAGAACCTTCTGGTTACAAGGCGAGCTAGCTCGTAGACCATTAAGCCACTGGGACTTGATCCAATGGCCTGCCTATGAATTCTAACTTCTGCCAAATCACGACAAAGCGCACCCGCTAGCCAATATCTTCGGCAAGTATTTGTCCTCACACCCAACCTGCTGCATCCTACTGGTCACAACTTCTCACTAGAACTCCTGAATAGGGCAATTCGCTAGTGAGCATCTCATCGATAGTCAAGTGTTGGTTTGTAGGGATTTGATTGTTTACAGCGGTCCAGTACTCCCAGATTTTTCAATGGTTCTCTAACCAATGTCAGTTCATGATGAAATCCTGTAACTTCACTAATTAGATGGGCACAGCATAGTTATCTTCTTTCAACTACTTTTTAGAAAAGGTAACTGTAATATTTCCTTCAGACATAAATCACAATGTAATCGGATACAATCGATAGAAAACAATTAGTACAAACACATTCACAGAAATCTACAATCGGTCTTTATGCACACCACAAAACTTACAATATTATCCTCAAGGGGTACACCACAAAAGGAAGATTCTAAAACCACCCATAATTGATCTTTGGGAAAGATTTCTGAAGTAAAATAGCAAGAAAGATAAAAATATTAATATTAAATAGTGAAATACGGCATATTAAAAGTGAATTAATAAGCTTCTAAAATGTATTCATATTTGGATTCACTGGCTGAATGAATATACTAGACTAAAAAGGCGTTTCGCACTTTTGATTCCCTACCGACGTACAGACAATGTTGGACATGAAGCTATCGACCTTATCGATCACACCTACTGAAAACTTCACAACAGTTTGAAGCCCTAACGATCCACTACCAGCGATAACACAAAGAATAACCAGAGTGGTCTAGGAGATAACGCGCCTTTGTGTTTGAAACAATGAGTGCAAGGTTCAAGTCCCGGTGGGAGAATTATCATCACCAGTATCTTTGGGCATTGCAGGTTTATCCAGCTGATGTCATGTGCAGTAACAGTCTGGATTCCACTATTCGTCACTACCTAGCAAATACTAAGTAGAACAGTTTTAAAAATATTCTCAACTATTATTTGGCTATACAGTGATATTGTTAACTAATTAACAAATGAAGCACGCCACATTTTAGCGCTGGATGTCTGGAAGTTATGGATGGCTAAGGGAACCACAAAACTAGGTACATTTACTCAAAGATATCTATGAACATAGAAGCTTTTTCTAGGTATATATCATCCCATTGATTGGAATCAACACAGAACTTTGCACCGATGTGCAGCAGTTCGAGTCGCCACACACCTTCTCCTTGTAACACACAAAGCAAGGGAAGAAAGTAAAAGAAATGTAAAATACAGACAGTGAAAAGAGATATGAGACAAAAAGAATATTAATAACGAAGAACAATAGAGTTTGATTGGGTATGACAAGTCACAAGGAGTGGATGCATCTGCGCTAGCCACTGAGAATCATTTTGAGCCACATCACCAATTATCTCCAGACTTCATTGGTTTTTATCATCGCGAAGACCCCAACCAGTCAGGAAGTCTACACCTTCCTACGTAACTGGCTCGCTTTAACTAACTGTTGTAGATTTCACTAACTGGTGCCATGTTTTGGTTTGACCGCCACTAGCTCTTTTCCAACCTGACCCTATGTCAGCTAACTATACCCGTCGAAGAAGGCGATGGCTAGGTAGGTATGCGTAACACATGTCCTAACCATCTCAATCGGTGTAACTCCACAGTCTCTTCGATTGATTTCGTCTCCTTACCCAGCACTCGACGCCTAACCTCAATACCATCACAACTCCCATATATATATATATATATATATCGATTAGTAAACAAATGAAAATCATAAAAGCACAGTAGACATTTATCTATTTTTCAGCAGGACATAACGCCAACCTCCTAAGAGAGGGTTCACAACTGGATGCTATCAGGTTACGCAGCGTGCAACTTATCACTCGTGTATCTAGGCATCGGAACACGTTATTCACTGTTCCATGGTCTATCATTCAACTTCACTAACTTCCTAATCACTAGTAGGCAACAATGAGGCTTTGAGACTTTCAAAGTCCAAGCTGTATTATACTTCAACTACACGACACGACGTCAAGTTAACAAAACCTTCTGTTGGCATAGGCTACACAGATAAATGCATGTCATTTCTATGCACCGCCTAGGCATTTCATCACTTCATCATTGTAAGCAATAAATACAAGATAATTTTAAGCCAGAAACAAAAGCATCCGTTACGTTAAACAAACTCGGCAACCTACAGGCATGAGAAGATAGTGAAATATAGCGTCAAAGATGTATTTGAATTTGTAGACAAAATCAAAGATATCAACATCAAGGACAAAACCATGATATCTTGGGACATAACATCTTTATTCACAAATGTACCTCTAGTAGAAACAGTTAACTACATATGCCAATAAGTGGATAACCAGTCGATAAACACTGGCATCCATACTGAAATCCTAAAAGAATTGTTATTAGGGTGCACCATGAATGTAAATTACAAATTTGACTGCACGCTTTACAGGCAAGTGGATGGGGTGGCGATGGACTCCAAATTGGATGACTTTTCTCTAAGTAAATTAGAAAATGGACCTTTGAACAACCTTATCAGAAAGTTCTCATTTTATTGCCGGTATATGGATGACATCTTCATTCTATGTGATAATCATTCGGATAGGAGTACAATAATTACTGAATTCAATGAAGTACATTCGGCTATGAAATTCACGTGTGCAATTCAAGGGCGATATACCAAGTGAAATAATTACGAGGAAATTAAGAAAATCAGTTCAAAGAACTTTTAATGCTGGCGAACCACATGTCTTATTCTCTACACCACCAATGGTGGTGATTCCCCAACTGGAAAATGAAGTACCTTTACTAGCCACTTCTAATTGTATCTACCAATTCAACTGCTCTCCTGTGGTGGAGCGAGTTATATCCGCTTTTGCTCTAGGAACTTGATTTTTCGTGCTCACTCGAGAACATCTCCCACTATGGTTAAGTAAAGGTGTAAATAAAACCATTAACGGTTCGCTATTAGACCATCTGGTGCAAACAGGCCACAAAGCCAGTGTTGAAGAATCCTTCTCTATCATCTACCGGGTGCCAAATAAATTGCCAAAAACATCGAAGCACCAAACAGCAGAGGCTATTGCAATTCGTGTGAAACAACCAGTGCTCTGTGTGCAAAAGAAGCAAGTCCAGCCAGCCACTACTGCTGCCCTGACTGGCCTTCAGTAGAGACTATAAATACATGATATTTGTAATATTATCTTTCTTAATTTTTCTGACATTCAGCTTATTGTTATGTTGGTGCTATCGAACTGTAATCCGCTGATATTATTATTATTGATTCGATGTTATTCAGAGATTAATGTTGTTCATAACACTAATTCATTCACTATAATATATGTATAAATGTAGAGTCTGATGATGAAGTTATCGAAAAAGTGAATATTCTTTGTTCATTAGCCATTCTTTTGAAGAACCAAAAGGTTGGCAGAGGAGACGGGAGGCAATGAAGACAGGACTTCAAGTGAACATAAAAAAGATGGTGATGAAGATACCTACCTACCTAACCAACCGATAATAATAGAAGCACTAATCACTATCGAATGTAGACATTTGAAAGAAGTCAACTCATCCTCCTTTCACTTATATCTAGGGCAGAATCGTTTCAACTACAACAAGGGAAAATACGGATGAGGATGTCAAAACCAGACATGATGGTGTGGTGAGAGCTGACTGCTAGCCAAAATCGGTAGACAGTAATTTACGTCAATGTGTACGTCTCCAATATTGGTCATGAGAAAAAAACAAGAACAAAGACTGACTCAACAACCAATCACAGCAGACTTTGCGTAGGCGGATACAATTTGTAGATGGATAATCTGAACTTCAAGAAACGGCCACAAAGAGATGGAAGATTAACGTTCAGCGAGAAACCACCAATCAGAAGACTGTGTCTGTCTGCTAACAATCTATAATACTGTACATGAAAATCTATAAATATTTGTTGATTTCCTAAATATAAACGATCTGTTACCTGGCCCTGCTTCCATTTCCGTCTTCCTATATTTCTGCCCTTATTGGTTTACTTTTCTTTTTCTCTTGATATATCAACGTGAAGTGTTTCAATCTATTGATGGTCGGTATAATTGACCTTTGTGCGTCGGTGGCACAGTGGTTAGGACTCTCGCCGACCATGCACATGGTCCGGGGTTCGATCCCCTGCCGGCGCACACCCGATATCTATGGTCGGCCTGCAAAATTGGGCTACCGATATCACATGCTAAAAATTCCATTCTTGTACCAAAAATACGGTGTGGAATCAAGCTATAATAAATAAATAAATAAAATAAAACAGATTTCCACATTTCTTATTGTTTCTATTGATCTTAACGGGTTGATAAAATGTAGAAATGACAGTATGAAATGGTTACTGTATTCTCAATTTTATTTTTGTACATAACAGAAATTCGTTATGACAGTTCTGTGTTATTTTGGTTACTCAACAAATAGTAATAATCATGTGAGCAATACTGTTTACTGGTAAGTATTAATTACTGGGGCTGGAGGATTGTGTTAAACATTACTGTAATTGACTTACATTTTTGTATCGTTCATCTCTCTCTTTTTTTACACTTGCGACAGCCCCGGAAATTGTCAACTTCGATCCTATTACTTTTGCTATAGATATGTGGGCTATTGGGGTATTAACGTATATTTTGTAAGTTTATCATTTAACTTCATATACTAACTTGCTATTATTTTGGTTGTGTTATTGTTATCATTAAGATTTATCGATAGTTTCTGTAATTCCTATTTATTAGTGATAATGATCACCAGTAATAATGTTATTCAATTATTTGTTTTTGTCTCTTAGCACTTGAAAGTATCCTTTATGTCTGATATTTTTAAAATTATAATCTTTTATTTTGCTATAGTAGTCGAACACCATGAATTTACTATTTAAAAAATCAACATGAAAGTGAATTGCATAACATACTCGTATCACTTAAATTTTTGCGGTTACATTGATTAGAGGACTATCTTCTCTTGACTGCAGTTAAGGCTTTAGATAGAGCTATAAGTGATTATGATCCAGCGACTAATTTTCACTGTTAATTTAATTTACGTTATTTTGTGAAGACTACAACGCATTTACGATTCAGACATTTTAAATTAAACTCGTATTCATTTAATGTTTATTGCACACTCATAACATAAGTACACAATTGTACTGGTAAGTATATACCTACTAAAAACTCATATATAGATTAAGAAAATTAAACGGATAAATGTGGTTATAAACCTATGCCAATTTAGGTAGGTGGAATATGGCTTTACACACTGCGGATAAGTTTACCGTGGCGTGTGGTGAAATCTGTATCAGCAAGTGATTGGATTTGAAGAAAGCTAAGAGTAGTTTCTCCTTCATGAATAAATACACTTGTTTAATTTATTTTTTAAATTATTCATGATTAAATTGTTTCTTTCCTGCTTTGTGTACTACATAGAGTGTGGCAACTTGAACTGCCGCACCTATGTGCAAAGTTCTGTCTAAAACAGACAGACAAACAGACAAATTGTTCAATAGAAGCAAAAGACAATCACATTTCTTCTTCCATTCTGCCTTTGAGAATAGGATAAAAGTGTTATAAAAGATATGAACAGATCTAACTTGTTTGGTATGGGGTTTAACATAATACACATAAGGTAAAGTACAAACCAATGGTGTGATAGAGACATAAAACCTCAAAATTATAATAAGATATATGCACAATAACCGAGATTGTTCACAATTTCAGACCGACAGTCTTTTGTTGAACTTTAAAAGGTCAAGAGGGAGTTGCAGTACTGAATCATAGTAATGCTTAATACCATTATATAGTACAAAGAAGAATGAAGAATAAAGACCAGAATTCATATTCAGTTAAATAATAAAGTAGCACTATCAAGTTGTAAGAACACTGATAAAAAATATAACTTGATGTAACTAAATATTTCAGCTTCTAGTAGCATGGTTATTAGGAGGAATCAAATCACCACCTCCAACTAACTGAGCAATTCCACGTCTATCAACTACTTCTATTGCAGGAGTGAAGACCTTATTCATCACTAACTCAGCTGAATGGTCTATAGCATTGGCTAATTCCGGCGCTTGACCAGTATAACTTAAAAACAACCAGGTAAACAATGTTATTAAAGCAGTGTAGAACGGCATAGTCAGAATATTTGAAATCACTGATAAGCCAATGAACTCAAATATTCCTGTGACAACATAGAAAAGCAGTAAGATGACAACCAAGACGGTTGGAGTACGAAACGTTTGAAATATGTTCTTTTTAGAATTCGCTAAGCGGAAGTCTTCTCCCATTTGCGTTATTGTTTCCTTTAAGCGATGCAAATACTCTTCAGAAAATGCTTCACCACCCATTTTAGGGCAACTATTGAACTTCTCAATACAATTATTATATATTTTCAAATGCAATGCTTCTAGTTCATTTGGGTTGATGTACGGTCGGTCTGGTCCACATATCTTGTTCATCACCTCTGTGTACATTTCTTGACAAGATATGTCACCAGTGGCAGTCAAAGCCCTAATGCAGTGGGAACTAATTTCCTCCAGGGTCATGACAGTAAGATTCAACTCCGAAGGAAGGAAGGTAACAATTATCCGACGCTATGCACAGTGCTACAAACAACGCGGAACAAGAGAAGAAGAAGGATTTTTACAGACAACTACAAACAGTATTAATATACGTATAAAACTTGGGCACTGTGGTAGTAAGTAATTCCATATTAGTTTGTTTATTTGATATATCACACAGTGAAACAGTATTATTTACTGGATGACGTTTCGAACAAAACTCAAGTGTCAAAGTCGTATGATTATAATTGATATGATTATGAACAATAAATTTTGTTCGAAACGTCATCCAGTAAATAATACTGTTTCACTGTGTGATATATCAAATAAACAAACTAATATGGAATTAACTACAAACAGTAATGGACAACATCCAGAATGGAGACATCAAAACCCTCATGGGCGATATGAATCCCAAACTGGGACCTGATAACACAGGAAGCGAACTCATCATGGATCGAAAGGCTCTCGGAGAAATGAATGAGAACGGGGAATTATTCGCAGACTTCTGCTCTTTCAACGATTTGGTGATCGGAGGGAGCGTGTACAAACACAAGGATATACACAAAGCAACGTGGATTTGGCCTGACGGACATACCACAAACCAAATAGATTTCATCTCGATCTCAAGGAAGTGGAGACGCAGCTAACCTGCTGGATACAAAGTCGAAAAGGGGAGCTGATGTGGGCTCAGACCATCATCTAGTCCAAGGAACTTTCAAGGTGAAGCTGAAATCCATGAAAACAAATGGACACAGACCACAACTCAAGTTCAACATTCAGAAACTGAAGGACAAAACTACAATGGATGCCTCCGCTACAGATCAGATCAGAGCAAAGTCGGAGACACTACGTGGCATCACTGAGGAAATCTGTGTGGAAGAGCATTGGAACTCTCTAAAAGGTATATTCAAGGAAACGTGTACAACTGTTCTGGGAAGAAGCAAGAGACAAGACAAGGAATGGCTGTCAACGGATACCTGGAAGCTTGTCGAGGAGAGGAGGATGGTGAAAGAGATGACCCAATGCAAAGATGGACAACAGAAGGAGAAGCTGAGTTCAATGTACACTGCACTAAATAAAGAAGTGAAGAAGAGTGCTAGAAAAGACAAACGATTATTGTACGACACACTTGCAGCTGAAGCAGAACAGGCCACAGGAAAAAGAGACAACAGGACACTATCAGATAACCAAGTCGCTACCAGGGAAGAGATCAACCCAGGTGACGAAACCAGTAAAAGATGCTCAAGGGAACCTGATCACCAAGGAGGAGAGACAAATCAAACAATGGGCTGATCACTTTAAAGGGCTCTTGAATCAACCACCACCGGCAACTCGCCCAGAAATACCACCAACAGCACGCACAGAACTGCCGGTGGACACCACTCCTCCAACGAAAGAAGAAATCGTGAATGCGATCAAGCTACTGAACACCGACCGGGAAGGCAGCAGAACCAAACGGAATTCCCCCTGAAGCACTGAAACCGAGCCCACAGACTGCGGCAGATATGCTGTTACCATTATTGCAAAACGTTGGAAGGAAGGAATGGTGCCTACTGATTGGAAGAAAGGCTGCCTCGTCAAGCTGCCAAAGAAGGGCGACTTAGGCCTCCTCAGAAAGTGTCGTGGAATCACTCTCTTTTCCACTTCAAGTAAAATACTAAGTCGCGTCATTCTGGAGAGGATAAAAGACGCACTGGATACAGAACTCCACCAACCCGAAACAAGCTGGATTCAGAAACAGTAAATCATGTGCTGATAAAATTGCAACTCTACGCATCATCATCACAGAAAAAAGCACAGAATGGCAGTCAGACCTCTACCTCAACTTCATCAAATTCGGAAAGGCTTTCAACAGCATTGACTGAAAAGTCATTTGGAAACTGCTTCAACACTATGGTATGCAGTGCCCAAATCTTCATCAACCTCGTTCAACAACTATACGACAGTGCCACGTGCCAGGTGATCCACAACGGAAAGCTCAGCGAGTCGTTCGAAGTGAATAGAAGAGTAAAACAAGGCTGTCTATTATCATCACTGATATCAATAATTGTGGTGGACTGGATTATACGTCAGACTGTGTGTCGTAGCAAGGAGACAGGAATACTCTGGACTACCGATAAGAAGACTCTAGAAGATCTGGACTTCGTGGATGATTTATGTCCAATTTCGCACACAATCGAGATCTACAGGCAAAAGCCAACAAGTTGACAGAAGAAGCAGCGAAGACAGGACTTCAGGTGAACATAGCGAAGACGGAGGTGATGAAGATAACCGACAAGCAGCAACAACAATAAACAGCACCAATAACCATCAACGGGAGAGATTTAACAGAGGTTACCTCCTTCAATTATCTAGGAAGCACGGTTTCAACCACAGGCAGGATGGATGAAGATGTCAAAGGCAGAATCAGATAGGCAAGATAAACCTTCATTAATCTGAAATCACTATAGAAATCCTCTGTACCCTGTGACATTAAGAATGAATTTCGGATTTTCATTACCCACATCAAGTCAGTTCTTCTATGTGCTTTAGAAACTTATTGCGTGACGAAAAACATTTTCAACACGTTGCAGACTTTAATCAACGGTTGCCTACGCTGGCTCCATATTGAAGATTAAATGGCCGGCCAAAAAGAACTAGCAACAGGAAACTATGGGAACAAACTAACCAAGAACCAATCGTTCATCATATAAGCAGGGGAAAATGGAGATGGATAGGGCACACACTGAGGAAACCGTCGAATGACATCGCGCGCCAAGACAACGCTCGAATGGACGCCGAACGGGAAGCGACGAGTGAGGCGTCCGCAATTGACATTGAGGAGATCGCGTGAGAAGAAGATGAGAGATTATGGTCAGTCGTGGGGCCAGCTAGAGAGGACATCAGAAAGAATAACAAAGTGGCGATGTGTTGTTGAAGCCCTATGTTCCACTCAGAACCTAAGGGAACAATAATAATAATAAGAGTACAAAAAATATGTCAGCACAAATGGAATAGAAGTGGATTCTCAAATTGGTCAGCTGGAGAGTCAGTGACCTATTTCGGTGATAGGGAAAACAACCACGAGTCACCAGTAGCACTGAAGGCTATTTCTTATGCAGCGGGAAGCAATCTTCTCTAAGGACATGATAAAATGGTTTAACTCAAAATTATGAGCAACAAGGAACTCTGGGAACGAATCAGTTCAGAACCCATTTACCCTGAAAATATACGGAAGAAAATGGAAATGGACTGAACATATGGTGAGGAAACCGTTGACTGATATCACATGCTAGGTCACCAGGTCTAACCACAGTGGGGAGAGATAAGTTAGGCGTACGACGGTAATGTGTAAGAGATCATGTGAAGAGGAAATGGAAGCTTGTGGATAGTCGTGAAACCAAATGAAAATGACAACAGATAATGGAGTACAATAGAGATGTGTGGCCGAAGCCTAATGTCCCACTTGGAACATATATATTTTGCTGAGGTAAATACTTAAAGTGAATCTAGTTCTAATAAAAACGGGGATCTGCTTCAAAAACGGGTGTTACAAATACCTGCTTGGCTTATGGTGGTTGTAAACACTTTACTATAACAGTTAATTAGTTGTTTCCTTCACACTGCTTTTAAGACTCGTCCACACATTTTTCTGATGCATCAAACAAATTACTCTTATTTAATTTATTTTTTAAATTATTCATGATTAAATTGTTTCTTTCCTGCTTTGTGTACTACATAGAGTGTGGCAACTTGAACTGCCGCACCTATGTGCAAAGTTCTGTCTAAAACAGACAGACAAACAGACAAATTGTTCAATAGAAGCAAAAGACAATCACATTTCTTCTTCCATTCTGCCTTTGAGAATAGGATAAAAGTGTTATAAAAGATATGAACAGATCGAACTTGTTTGGTATGGGGTTTAACATAATACACATAAGGTAAAGTACAAACCAATGGTGTGATAGAGACATAAAACCTTAAAATTATAATAAGATATATGCACAATAACCGAGATTGTTCACAATTTCAGACCGACAGTCTTTTGTTGAACTTTAAAAGGTCAAGAGGGAGTTGCAGTACTGAATCATAGTAATGCTTAATACCATTATATAGTACAAAGAAGAATGAAGAATAAAGACCAGAATTCATATTCAGTTAAATAATAAAGTAGCACTATCAAGTTGTAAGAACACTGATAAAAAATATAACTTGATGTAACTAAATATTTCAGCTTCTAGTAGCATGGTTATTAGGAGGAATCAAATCACCACCTCCAACTAACTGAGCAATTCCACGTCTATCAACTACTTCTATTGCAGGAGTGAAGACCTTATTCATCACTAACTCAGCTGAATGGTCTATAGCATTGGCTAATTCCGGCGCTTGACCAGTATAACTTAAAAACAACCAGGTAAACAATGTTATTAAAGCAGTGTAGAACGGCATAGTCAGAATATTTGAAATCACTGATAAGCCAATGAACTCAAATATTCCTGTGACAACATAGAAAAGCAGTAAGATGACAACCAAGACGGTTGGAGTACGAAACGTTTGAAATATGTTCTTTTTAGAATTCGCTAAGCGGAAGTCTTCTCCCATTTGCGTTATTGTTTCCTTTAAGCGATGCAAATACTCTTCAGAAAATGCTTCACCACCCATTTTAGGGCAACTATTGAACTTCTCAATACAATTATTATATATTTTCAAATGCAATGCTTCTAGTTCATTTGGGTTGATGTACGGTCGGTCCCTACCTTCAGGGGAAGAGGTTGTCGTTTTATTAATGGATACACAAGGTTCTTTTGATAGCACTAGTACTGTGTGTCATTGTGCCACAGTTTTCGCTCTGAGTACAATGTTGAGCAGTATCCAAGTTTACAATATACATGGTAATATCCAAGAAGATCACCTCCAACATCTTCATCTGTTCACTGAATATGGTCGGTTAGCATTAGAGTCAGAAGTTTCTGGGTCTCCATTTCAGCATCTGTTGTTTCTTGTTCGTGACTGGAGTTATCCTTACGAATATAATTTTG